ATCAAAAATGCTCCTACTTTCACGGGGAATTTTCTTAAACATTTATTACAGTTTACCTTTAAAACCTTGCATTCTTTGTCGTACGCAACACTGTTTATTAAATTATTCATAGGTTTTCTTTGTATTTTTGAAAGGGTCACTACATGATAGAATTGACATTTTCAAAACTATTAATAATATCATCAATATTGGAAAGGTTATCATCAATTTGCCTATCTATTACATCAAAATTCCTTCTGTAGCCTTTTCTAAATAAAGAGATTCAAACACATTACAATTGTCCTTGTTAATACAAAATGTAAAAATTTTCAGATTTAGAATTATTCTTATATTACGGCTTAATGACACTTTGTTAACGAGATGTATAATTATTCAGTGCTAAACAAACCTGGTAAATGATCACTTTCGGACCGTATTTTCAACAGTAAGATTAAAAATTCTTTCAAAAAATGTTTCTGCTACTAATAAAATAATCTATAACACTGCAACCAAGTGGGCTAACAAAAGTAAAATCTCCACTATTAAGTCAAATCTACCAATTTATGATAGTATATACATGAGTAACATTTACAAAAATCAATCCAAATCTCTACCAAAATTTATTTAACAATCAATCATCAAACTATTGTAGACGTGTAATAACCACATCATCATTTAAAATTTCAACATATGCCGCGGGTAGCTCTGGAAATAGACACTCGCAAATCACTGACGTAGGAGTCTTGTAAGTTACCCTGTTCTAAGCAAATTCAAATCAAACCCACAAAAATAAGTAGTTCATGAATTTCTAAAACAGCATTATTGCATTTTCAACCAGATATAGGGTTTTCAAAAAAATCAGAGTAATACAGAATGCCCTAAAGAAAGCTCCAACAACCGGCAAAATTGAAAATGTTGCAGGCTCGGTTTGCCATTGAGCCTGTTCATGGGACGGTACTGGATAAGTGGCAAGTTACCGTCCCACGCCCTAGCACCGGCTTAAGCAGAACTTCAAGCATTTAAACCATGAAATAGTAAAATTTTGAATTTAGAAAACATCCGCAGATGTGTTCATACGGCGGTTATTAATGGAACTTTCAATGTGACACTTCCGTGCCATTCCATGAAAAGCGGCGTATGGTCCCCAAGTAATAAAAAGCGTGTGCCCTAAACGAGAAACAATGGGCGGAACTAAATAAAATGGAATTTTGAAAGGGGATCAGAGGTTATGAAGCCTGCGTATCACAGATAAGACGTCAAAAGACAAATTTAAAAAGCAGGCAACATATCCTAAGGGTGATTCAACATTATTCAAGTAGGAATATTGGAACCACCCAACTAGAAAATGCCGAAAAGTTGAAACTAAAAATACTACAAGCACAACAATAATGTCGTGCTGAACGATCTTCAAGGATCGAAAATATAACATCATTGATTAAATGTACGGGGAGACTTTTTACAGCCGCCACACGGCACAAATAACACGGATGTGATCATAAAATAGATAAATACAGAATCCCACATTGTATGCCACGCATGTTATCTATTTCATAAAATGGAGAGTTTTCAGGTGGCAAATATAGACATGCAAGGATAATATCTTCTTCGGTATTAAAACATTTTCTATCAATATAAAGAATGACTCCATATTCAAAAGTTGTACAAATACGACTAAATAGAGGTACACAATTATTGTTTATATATACTAAAACACCCCCCATATTTCTTCAACCTTTTTTTAGAACATTTCGCTGTACAAAAATGGCAAGTGTAATTTCTTAACAAATGTTGACTTAAATCTTCGTCTATCATCCACGTTTCTGTTAAACAAACAACATCAAAAGTTTTTAAGTATTCAATAAAATCACTATCATTTATTTTCTCTTGAAGACCACCTATATTCCATGTTAAAATTTTCAAAATGTTCCGATCATGTGCAAGACTTCGGCCTACCCCCTATTTGTAACCTGTATTTGATGAAGCAGCAGATGTGACCATACTGGCTGGAGAAGATGGTTGATTTGTCTCAATCCTCCTTGATGCCTTTTTGAATATTCTGGTGTTTTGGGAACCATCTAGTTTCTCTTCTCGAATATATAATGTTCCACTTCTGAAATAGCCCCTTTTACCTTGCCTTGCTAGTTCTTTTAGTTCCTTTTGTTCCCAATTAGTAAGATCACTTGCAATTTTGATACCCCTTTCTCGAAGAACATCGCGCACCGCAAATAGCTTTAATTTACTTTCTATATTCTTAAACTTCACTAATACCATTCTGGGCTGATCCACTTGTAATATTCCAATTCTTTTAACACTGAGAATCTGGGAAGAATCATTTATATTATTAGGTAGGGCAGTTTTAAGCACTGTTTCCTGTACTTTACTTTTCAATGATTCGTTTGTTTCGTTTTCATCCTCTGATAAACCAAAAATTCTTAAATTGTTTCTTCGGGTTTCCTTTTCAAGAAAATGAATGTGTTTTTCAAGTTTATCAAAATCTTCACATTTCTTCTCATAGTTAAATGCTAATTGTTCAAGATCTAAGGTATTAACTTCCATTTTGTAAGACAATGTTTCATTATGTGTTTCAAGTTGGGTCAGCCTAGCTTCCAAACTATTTTGCTTTGTTTCAATTGCTTCAACCTTTGACTTTATACCAGACATTTGATTTTTTAACTCTCCTACATAAATACTTGATATTTTTAGGACTACTACCTAAAGCCGCATCTACACCTAGTCAAGTTTCTTATATGTGACATTTAGCTAAATAAATGGCTCTTTCAACATATTAACAGGCACATTTTTTTACTGAAATGTCTTACTAAAATTGCCCAGAATTTATACCTTTGTCTATGCTAAGACTATCATGTTTCTATAAAATGTGTAAATAAAAAACGGGAAAATAATCCATTTAGCTAAAAACAATGGAGTTAATGAAAGGTGTACTTTCTTTTAAAATAAATGGAAGATTCGAGAAAAAATTATTTTAAGCTTAATAATTTATACAAATTCTTTATTAGGTGATTTATTTGGTGAAAGTTCTTCACTTACTTATCAAGACCATTTAAATCCCTATTGATTCAACTATAATCCAGGGCATATGTTTTGCGTCTTTTTAATACCTTGATTTTTGTTTACCATTCGCTTTGACAACAATATATTACTTAAAACATAATGAACAATAATTTTCTATGACCCAAAGTGCGGTCGTTTGCCTGATGTTAAAAAATTCATATGTACCTGTTTAACGCACTTTGGGGTCAAAATTGGACCCCAAAGTGCGTAACGCACTCTTGGGTCGGACCCCAAAGTGCGTTTGCCCCCAAAGTGCGGTGTTACATGGGTATTTGTTGCAGAAAGCAAAATGTGTTAAATGAAGTCAAACGATTTTACGAGGGGCTGGTTTTTTATATAAATAAATTTCTATGAATTGATTTAATAAATAATTAAAAAAAAATGAATAACAAGAGCCATGTCAACATGGCCATCCCCCGCCGAAAGTGTTTGCTCATTGGAAGAATGTATATGTAGTAGAGCAGAATAATTCAATATAAAGAGGTCTTTTGGTAATGAAAACTGATGGCTGAAGTGATTACAGATTTGAAACCTATGTGAATACTGATGGCTGAAAATAATAAAGGGCAATAACTGAAAAATAATGCAGGGTAGGTTATCATTCTTGTGTGCTACACCCCTCCTCAGTAAAATCTATCCACCTATGAAGTTTCAAGTCAATACCTCAAATACTTTTTGAGATAAGCTCCAGACAAAATAGTATGAAAAAACCCAAAGAGCAATAACTAAAAAAAATTATATAGGGCAGAGTTATCATTCTTGCGCACAGCATTCCTCCTTAATAAGATCTATCCACCTATGGCATTTCATGTTGATATCTCAAACACTTTTTGAGTTATGCTCAACTCAGATGAAAAATTAAGCATGAAAAATAACAAAGGGCAATAACTCAAAAATTATGCAGGGTAGAGTTATCATTCTTGTGCACTGCACATCTCCTGAGTGAGATCTATGCACCTATGAAGTTTCATGTTGATATCTCAAAGGCCTTTTGAGTTATGCTCTGGACAAAAATTAATTTTGAAAAATAACAAAGGGCAATAACTCAAAGGTTATGCAGGGTAGAGTTATCATTACTGTGCAAAGCACTCCTCCTCAATGAGATCCATCCACCTATGAAGTTTCAAGTTGATATCTCAAATACTTTTTGAGATAAGCTCTGGACAAAATAGTATGAAAAAGAACAAAGGGCAATAACTCAAAAAATTGTTTAAGGAAGAGTTATCATTCTTGTGCACAGCATTCCTCCTCAATAAGATCTATCCATCTATGACATTTTATGTTGACATCTCAAACACTTTTTGAGTTATGCTCCACTCAGGTGAAAAATTAAGTATGAAAATTAACAAAGGGCAATAACTCAAAAATTATGAAAGGTAGAGTTATCATTCTTATGCACTGCACACCTCCTGAGTGAGATCTATGCACCTATGAAGTTTCATGTTGATATTTCAAAGGTTTTTTTGAGTTATGCTCTGGACAAAAATTAATTTTGAAAAATAACAAAGGGCAATAACCCAAAAATTATACAGGGTAGAGTTATCATTCTTGTGCACTGCACTCCTCCTCAATGAGGTCTATCCACCTATGAAGTTTCAAGTTGATACCTCAAATACTTTTTGAGATATGTGCCGGACAAAAATGTCGGACGGAAAGACGGACGGATGGACGGACGGACGGAGACTATTTCTATATCCCCCGCCGCCTTTTCGGTGGGGGATAAAAAATAAATAATACAAATATATGTGCGATAGAAAGATTACAGAACAAATATTTGCTTTAAATATACATGTACATGTAATTCTAAAGCGTAAACTATCTAAACATCAACACAAAAAATGACAACAACAACAAACATTGAAACATTAGTATATTATGGTATACGTGTGCTACGAATCTTTGATCTACAATAGATAACAAAACACGTTTATTGCAAGCTATTGTCATACTTAGACTTGGTGATTTTGTTGCCGAATAAACTGCGAAATAGCCTTCGCTTACTGATCCACATTTATACTGTACGTTTCCAGGACAGACTTCTGTACACATGTGTGCCACTGGAGAAAATGTGCTTATGAATTCTGTGCAAAAGCAATTCTTTGCCAGCTGCAAAAAAGTCAACATTTTGTTTCTGGGAGCTGTAAACCACCTTGAAAATGGTCATGTTTCAGATTTATTTGCTTATTTGCGTTTCTTATTAGACATCATTTTAATCAATTATTAATTCAAGACTCAAGTCACAAGTATATTATACGGAAACCTTCTGTAACGATAGAATAGGGAATTTTAGGAATGCAACAAAAAACAGGAATAAAATAAAGTGATAGACCATATTAAATCCTTATATAAGAAGTTGTTGTACAAGTAATCCAAGAACAATGCGAAGTTAAAATATCCGTTCCACTTCAAATTAATAACCCTCACTGTACTTTTGAAGATTCATTTTATGATTGTGACAATCTTATCGTTTTCTTACTTAATGTAACGCAGGTAACCTACTTAGTTAATGACAGTTTTTTAAAGTACATATATATTATAATATCAAAACTATGAACTAATATCCCAACCCCTATTTTATTTCTTCAACTTACTTCAGCCATTACTTACACAAACAGTAAAATGTTTTACCTATTTTACAATTACTTTAAAATATCTTTGAAAAAAAATATCTAAGGCGGAATGTTTCTTTATTGTTTTATAAAACACAATTCAATGCTATATTAGTATAATATTGTAATATAAGAACACACCTGTAAAGCTACGTATGTTGTAGCACACGTCAAAGCACAGCTTTCTACAGTAAGCCCAGTCTCATCCATGAAACTAAACGTCAGATCTAACTCCCAGTCTGCCCAACAGTTGTCGAATGCTACATCGGTCACTATTCAGAAAATAAACTTCCAAGATTTTACCAATAATATAAGGCTGATAATATTAGCTCTTGCTTTTCCAAGAAAACTACGATTGCATAAGAACTGCAAACATGTTTTGAGTTTGATTCCCTAGTATTATAACCCCTAAAACAGTAAATGTTTTAGTTTTTTTCTGTAAGTTATTTCACAAAATGTAAATTTCTTTACTTTCATGTTTTTATTTAAATGGTTAGAAAACGTGACTATTTATAATTACAATTTTTATACATCGATGTATAACGAAAGAATGAGCACGATGGTAAAAAGTAATTCTGTAAGAAGAAAAGAATATATTTCTCATATAAGATATTGGACCAGTAAACTCAAACACAGCAAGTACTGTTATAAAATCAAATATTTTATTAATAGTTTTTGGATCGTCCATTAAAATACAAGCAAAATTTTATGTGTAAAATAGAGTTAAATAGAACTTCTAAAGAAAGCCTTAAAATAACAAGATTTGAAAATATTGCAGGCTCGGTTTGATTGAGCTTGTTCATGGGCGGTAGTGGAAAGTGCAAGTTACCGTTCACGCCCCCTAGCACCTACTTTAGCAGTTTTCAACATTTAACATGGAACTTTCAATGAAAAGCGGCGCATGGTTCCCAAGTAAAGTAAAATAATACGCGTTTTTTAAACGAGAAAAAATGGGCGGAACGAATAAAATGGAATTTTGAAAGGGGACCAGGGGTTATGAAGCTTGCATTTCACAGATAAGCTGTCAAAAGACAAATTGAAAAAGCGGGCAACATATTTTCAGGGTGATAAGATATTATTCAAATAAGGTATACTGGAACCAGCCAACCAGCAAAAGTAAACTTAATCATCTGTGGACCTTATTCAATACATTGTGCATGGAATATTTCAAAACTTTATGATATATAATATAATTCATTTAAGAATATATTAGGGTTCAGTATTTTTTTCAATATGTAAGAAGGTTATGCGTATATGAGTAAAATAGTAATAACTGTGCTTTACAACACGTATTATAGATTTAAAAAAAACAACAAAAAGGAGGAGTGAACATGCAAAATGCTTACAGTACAACCTCTTTCAAAGCAACACCATTTGGTAGAAGGATATTTTCTATTATTGATGAAAAGTCATGCTCAGTGAAGTCTAAAACTTACTTTTGGAATAATTGGTATTTTTGTCGAAAAAAAGGATATTGCTTTACAGAAAGTCGCCCTGCAGGTGTAGCACTGTTGTTACAAAATAAGACAAAATAAGTCATGGACAATATTTTACCTGCTCCTGTTGATAAGGTTCCAGACGAGTTAACAGATAACACAATTTTCGGATCAACAGTCGCTGAATGGAGTATGGAGAACCAACACTCATTTGATGCCATTATTATCAACTCTTTTGTCCCATTTCTACAAGCATACATTCTCCAAAAATTACAGAATACAAGTGATTGATTTAACATCTACTGCAAGACAAATTTGTAAAAATAATTTACAGTGAAATTGAGTACATCAAATATTAAAAATCCTATATGAAATCGATTAATATATACAATTCTAATTATAAGTTTTTTTTCAAGGTGAAATATATGTCCCTTTTATGATAGCTTCAATATGACATGACTTCATATAAACTTTGAATTCTTCATCTTTAGCTGCCTTGTATTATTTCGCCATTCATAAATAATAGAATACCATGTATAAATATAACAAACACAGAATAACAAAGCAAACACTCTTTTAATACATGTTTTGAAGCATTACTGCAACAGAATCATATTTTATGAACGAAAACAAGAAAAAAAGACAAACAAATAAAATTCATTTCAACTGTAAACCTCCATAAAAGCTAATGGGTCAGATAATGTTATTAGACAAAAGGTTATTGGCGCCACTGTTAGACCTATTGTTAGGCAATATCAGGAATTGACAAGCTTTCAACATTGATCTCTGTGTTTAGTATTTTAAAATATAACAGCAATAGAGTTTATCATTTCGTGACATGGTGACGTTTTTGTTTTGTTGTTATTTTATTTTGCATCATAATGAAAAAACATACAATGTACTTAACTTTTTTAGAACAAAAAGCTATAAAAAAACAACAACAAAAAACCATAGATTAAAATCACTCGCCTATATTTTCAGAAAAAAAGCACCATGACAAAGAATAAAGTAAAGTAACAAACAAACAGTAAAATAATAAAAAATAAAATAAATCAAAATGATGTTTTCTTGCCACATGTTTGAGTTATTTGCTCTTGATATTGACGTAAAAGAGTAAAACACTTTCTTTCTGAAAATACTAAAAAAAACAACAGGTGGGCGACTTTTTTCATATTTTCATCAAATATGTTTTTGTTTTATTTTTATCAAATCTTTTTTTAATTATGATTGTATTTAATCGTAAAAAGTTTCAGAAAACTGTCTGCACTTGTTATAATTTCCTTTTTTTGCTTTGTACCAAATTGTACTATGGCAATAAATGTCTTTAATACTAGCTAAATGTGCCATACATACAACAATACGACGAACCGTCAAAAGTTTTGTCCATTAAACAATAAAAAGCCGTACACTCATGGAATAATCGTGCAGTATTTATCTTTACACGGTTTAGTTCTTTATCTACACAATGATATCAAAATCATTGATGTGCGACAAGTATAACTTACATAAAATTGGGATCTTAAATGAGTAGTCATTCATACTAGTGTTTAAAATGGTTGGTAAACGTTCGTTGAAAAGTGATGAAATTCGCACCTATATCAAAGCTCGCAATGAACTTAAAATTGAACCAAAATCTATCTTTTATAAAAATATAGGCTGGTTAGAAACTGGATTGCGAAATTTAATAGTGGATTAGACTCTATTCAAGATGCATCTAGATCTGGCAGGAGACGCACAGCAGTGACCCCGAAAAACATCTCGAAGATTAGTAATATTTTGAAGTCAGATGCCAGATATACGTCTCCCGAGATAGCTCAGATGACTGGTATTTCAGAAGCATCTGCTCGTAGGATTTTAAAGAAGAACCTTGGACTTTCACGCAAAGTTGCTCGATGGATACCCCATATTCTTATCAAGGACCAATTGACACAACGTGTTAAGATGGCCAAAAAACTATTGAAGTTATACCCTAAATTTGACGGTGACGAAACGTGGGTTCATTTTTTTGAACCACGCAGGAAAATAGATAATAAGATATGGGCCACACGACACGCTCGTAGACCAGTATATGCTAAAAGAACGATTAGTGTTAAGAAAGTAATGTTGGTTGTATTTTTCGATATCAATGGTCCTATTATTCAAGTCTCTGTACCTAAGGGGCGCACAGTAACAGGGACATTATACAAACGAAAAATTCTGAAAAAGTTAAATAAGTTCTTTGAAAAACGTCGATCAAGGACAGGATTAAGAGGTGTTCACTTATTACACGACAATGGCCCAGCGCATACATCTAGTGTTGTAAAGGATTTTTTGAAAACCAAAAAAGTGACAGTTCTTCCCCATCCACCCTATTCACCAGACCTGGCAGTCGTAATGCAGTAGCTCCCGCTGTTTATCAGTGTCTAAAACGTATCCCTAAAAAAGACTATGAAAATGCTTTTCGGAATTGGCTTAAAAGGTTGAAGTTATGCATTTCTCACAATGGAGATTATTTTGAAGGAAATAAAAAGAAATAATTTGAAATTTGCATTTTGTTCATTTTTTATAGACCATTGGACAAAACTTTTGACGGTTCCCTCGTATAAGCAAAACACATTATCACAGCAAACCAAGCAAATCAACATATGTTATTATGCAAGTAATTTCACGTAGAATTATCACTTTTACAACGAAAAGTATTTTTAAAAGTGATGAAATGTTTAAATGGACATGTACATACACTTGCTTTGTGAATATGTATATATGAAGTTAATACGGTTCTGAAGTCGACAATTCGATGGTTTGCAATAAACTTAATTCACACGTTACTTGATATGGATTGGTCTACAATGGGCACACAATTTCTATAACTATTTCAATAACTATTTTTAATAAACAAAAGTATCAATGTTGATAAGAAATTTTATTAATTTATATGATGAGTTCAAGAACAATTTATAATCTGTTATATATTAAAGTAAGTAATATAGGATCACGTATCTCACACTTGCCAACAAAATCGATATATTATTCCTTCATAACAGAACTTCCATTATGATCCTATTCACTTTAATATTTAGAAACAGCAAAATTTCAAAAGAGAAAATCATCTTAAAATGATTGATTTTTCTCCTTAAATCGATGGCCGAAACACTTTAAGATTTTTCTGAATGTAACCGGACAGACAGAACCAACATCGATAATTTCTGTTATGTGAAAATGATTTCACTTCAGTGACACACATTCGTCGACTTTAGATTCATTTATGATTTGTTTCATTTCTTTGAAATACTTGAATAAGTAGAATGAAAAATATATAAATAAAAAATAGAAAAAAATCATATAATTTTAGACCACTTACCTTGCTACTGTAGATAATGTGTTAGGGTCCAGTAAAAATGCGTCGTCCATGTATGATCCGATAAACCAATCGCTCACGTTTGCAGTGGGCTGTCCAGTTACATCAAAACTTACGTGAAACAATTCATCTCCAAGGTCATTGAGGCCAATTATTCCTATCTGAAATATCAATAACACTGGTGGTGTTGTGACATGCGATTAGAAACATGAAAAGACAAAGGGGTCATTTGTGTAAGACAAACGATGCAGACAACTAACGTTTACATCAAATGTTTCCTGGGAAAGAGACTTCTCGAAAAAAATTAACTTCATACAGATTTACTCTTACACTTCTAATAAGAGTAGACTTCGTATATTTTAAAATTCTTATATCGACATTGAACTCTAAAAAAAGTTGATTCACCAAGAGATTATTGCTGCTTTGGTTGAATTATTATGTTATCAATGTACATTTTTTTCAATGTCGACATCCCCAAACTGATTTTGAGTGACATATTTAAGTATAGTAAACGTTTTTACAAAACAAAACAAACAAACATAACTATAAGTAAAACTCGATTGATGCGCATATAAATGATTTCAGCTTACATTTACCTTATTCATGACACCCCAAGATGGATCAATTACTACTTTAAAGTCGGGTTTATCAGCCAAATCCTCGCCAGTCTCTAATAAGGAGTAGTTGCCGTACGGGTCGTTGATGGCTATTTGAGAATTCCACATGGTATCAAAGTTGTTTGCGGATCCAGATTTGAGTAAGAGAATTCTCCTAAACAATGGATCTGAAACTTCTACAAACGTTCAGAAAGAATTTATAAATATTTAGTGGCTACAACACCCCATTCGAAACAGCTACAGAGTTAAACCAATAAACAGCAATAAATTTAAATTGCTGCTTGGCTTGATGTATGTCCATCAATTAGATAGCATATCAACACGACATATTTCTTCATTTTTGGTAATTTTTTTGTTCAAATTTTAATGCAAATTAAATTGTTCAAAAATATAAAACATGGTGAAAAACAAAAAATGTTAAGTGACAACAAATGCTACCGAACACAGTGATGTTCACATTTTTGGAGCTGGTAAAAAAGGCAAGCTTTAAGAGATTTAACAGGAAACATTCTTTTGTATTTCAATAATCGTAAGCGCATTTACATCGCCAGCTTGCTTTCTATCGGGTTTAAGAAGTTTTTTTATAATGTTTTGTTGATTTCGATAACATAAAACTTTCGAAACGGGGAGTGAACGAACACTCAACATAATTATAATAAAGGCGAGTTTGATAAGGCAAACTTACACACACATGTTTCGTCAAACATACCACCCGTCCTCCAAAGCTATGGATGTTGTTTCCTCTCAGGGTGAGAAGATTTTCAACCTGACCGGGACTTGTCACCATTTATCAAAATATTCACCAGTAAATGTTTTGTAAACGCTCCAACACCATATTTATAAACACTTATATTTTTGGTAAAAAGCAGCACATTTGCTTATGCTTCAATAATTTGGTTAAGAATAAACTAAACTCATAAAATTACTGGATTATGATTACTATATTGGTATCGCTACTTATCAAATTACTACTTCTCAGCTCAATATAGTCGTCATCTTATGGCAGTGCTTTCAAGCACAACCAATTTTAAATTTCCGGGTTGTGCTTAACTTATTTCGAGGTGTATATTATAATATTTTCGAAATGTTTATAGAACATCTTTTTTTACTAGTCTGGCATGACAGACATAGCAGGTGGCTCATTGTAACTCACTGTAACTTGTTAACAAAATAACTCTAAATATATTGTCGTAGAATAGTAGAATGTAATGGATAAGTTATGAATGGCTGTATAATTTAATTAATGTTTTCTGTTTCTACAATTCATTGATATGCGATGTAAGTGGCAAACATAGGACAGTATCACAATAACTGTAGAAATAGACTTGAATTAGGGAAAATTCTGGTTACAATAATAATGACAAAAGAAATGTTGGCCAAGGACATAACAGTTCCGTTCATATCTTGAAAACAGGTCAGAAGCAATACTGTCTTATAGTAAAAATGTTGTGATTTTTTACTTGACATTAATCAGTCTCTGCTCCGGCTATCAGCTCATTGTAATTTTCAAATGATTACTTATCCATTCTTAAAATGGCATGTTAACATGCATGTTATCATGAGCACCTTTTACAATCTGATAATATACACGCCTTAAAGAATTAATGAATCATGACATATGGCCCAAAACATCATTCATACATGGATAATGTGAAAAATTCCCCATAAGAGCAATGTGAATTAAATGTTTCTTAGTATACGCCAGGTGTAGGCTGCATTTTTATTGCTCTGCAAACTTGACTGTTTTGTGGAAGTTATACTGGACTGATTATTTTCAAAATTGGACATATTACGTAGTTTCATTTTGTAATCACAGTGATATAAATTGCACGTGGATTACTCTTGTGGTTTTAAAGATATTTTGAATTTAAAACTTTGTTGATTCTATTGATTTTAAAAAATTTTCAACGCATACAGCAATAATGTGTTTTAGTGAGCGAAACTCGACGAAGATTATATATACACGGTCAGAACTGCATAACATCGGGCAATTACCAAGTTCACAAAAATAAGATACTATCAATGGTGTGAATGTTGACAATTTACAGTTACTTCCCCAAAAATTAACAAAAGTTAATCGGAGAAGACGTAAGAAAAATCACTCAGTATGTGCAATGTGAAAAACTTAATCTGGTTAATCTTGAGCACAGTACAACAGTTAAAGGCCAAACAAACATAAGATATGTTTAATGAACATACGCTCAGTGAAAAACAACCCTATCCATATGTGACTTTATTCTCTCCAATGAGTTTGATATATGTGCCATAACTGAAACATGGCTAGGTAGTTCCGTTGATAAGGTGTGTATCCGTGAACTTGTACCTCCTGACTACATAATGAAACATGTCCCGCGTGTTGATAGGCGAGGTTGGGGTGTAGCTATCATCCATAAAGATTCTATACAAGTCACCACTGAGTCGTCAAGTCAAAGCAAGGGATTCTCAGAGTTTGAGTCCATGGACAGTAATGTCGTTATTGGGCGGTACTCTATGAGGCTAGCGGTAATATACAGACCACTTCCTTCCAAACGAATACAAACACTTTCCTTGATCATGAGTGGCCCCTTTTCTTAACTAAGTCCGCTGCAGTTGACAATTCTGCAATCATAGTAGGCGATCTCATCCTTCATTAAGACATACTAGACAACAATGATACGAGGTTTACAAGTAACCTTGGTGCATGTGGTATGCATCAGCATGTACAAAAACCAACCCACGTTGCAGGCCATACATTGGACGTAGTATATCAAGGGAAACAGACAACATTGTATCAAACATAGAGGTTGTAGATCTTGAACTCTCTGATTCTAGTGGAAATATCTTACGTGACCATTTTGTTGTTACATTTGCCGTTAAAGCCTACAAACCTGCACCGGTCAGAAATTGGTTTTTTAAAGATAACTACGCGCTTATGACATCGATTGGTTTCGAGATGACATACGGAAAACGGAGTTCTTGAACAAAGAGTGTATCCCTTCTGACATAGATGGTTTAATGATGGAGTACCGTATTCAGACAGTCTAACCTCTATTTTGGATAAACATGCTCCGATGATTAACAAGACGATTACATTTAGACCTGGTTGTCCGTAGTATACAGAACAACTCCACGAAGCCAAGCATGAAAAACGCAAACTTGAACGGAAATGGCGTGAAACTTACACTAGACCATCAGATTTACAGAACACAGTGTTCTAGTGTGAACAAGATGTTACAACAAGCTCGTGTAGAATACTATACAAGTAAAATAGAGTCTTGTGGCAATGATCAAAAAAGTCTATCTAAGATAACCAAAGGTCTACTTTGAGATACAAATGAAGTGATTCTACCATCTGATTCATTTTCAGAGCGCCTTGCCCAGAAATTCAGTGACTTCTTTATTGGAAAGATTAAAACAATAAGGAATAACATACTTTCTCAAATACAATCGGTACGTGATAATTTAGATATGGAATCTGAATATACGAGTGTCTCAAACCACAGAACAAGAAGTGAAAGCATTGATTAAAACGTCAGCAACCAAATCCTGTGAGTTAGATCCCATTCCAACATGGCTCTTAAAAGAATGCCTAGATGAACTAACAACAGTGATAACCAGTTTCATAAACGTGTCCTTGGATGCCGCTTATGTACCAAACATGTTCAAACACTGACGAATAAGACCACGTCTAAAGAAACTAAATCTAGATCCTAACGAACTGATTAACTATAGGCCTGTGTCTAACTAGCCATTTCTGTCTTAAATCTTGGAAAAAGTGGTTGATGTACGTATTTAAAGCCATCTGAAAACAAACAATCTACACGAGGTCAACCAATCTGCTTATCGCAAGTTCCATTCGCACGAGACTGCATTGTTAAAAGTTCAAAAGGACATTATACAGTCTTTGGATGATAACAATGTGACTATTCTCGTGATGCTTGATTTATCTGCTGCTTTTGATACAATTGATCACGGAACGCTCCTTCGCCGCCTTAAACGACACTTTGGAATTACAGACAAGCCACTCGCGTGGACGACGTCATATCTGACCGACTGATACCGGACTGTATGCATAAACAACAAACTCTCATAGCCAGTCCACATGGAGTACAGTGTACCTCAAGGGTCTGTCCTAGGACCTAAGAGCTATGTGATGTAAACAAAACCTGTCGGAGAAATCTGCCGTAAACATGAACTAAACAACCATTTCTTCGCAGATGACTCACAACTCTATCTATCCTTCAAACCAGTGACTAGTATTTCAATTCAAGAGAATATAAAACTATTGAAAGATGTCTGGATGATATTGTTAGTTGGATGAATGTCAACATGCTGAAGCTAAACGGCGACAAAACAAAGTTGATCATCTTCTCATCTGAACATAACGCACAACTTGTATCAGATGTTACATTGACAGTCAACGGTTCGGAACCCAGCCAATTATCTAGTGTGTGCAATCTTGGTGCATTTTTTGACTCGAACATAAAGATAGAACAACATGTAAATAATGTCTGTATGAACTGGTATGCTCATTTAAGAAATATTGGTCACATCTATCTTACTGTTATAGCAACCAAATATCTAGTAAATTCAGTTAGACTACTGTAATACACTGTTATACGGAGACTCTAAGCAGTCAATGACCAAGTTACAATATGTGCAAAATACAGCAGCTAAAATTGTGACCAAAACACTCAAATATGACCACATAACACCTATCTTACGTGAACTTCACTTGCTTCCGGTAGAGTATCGGGTCGAATATAAAATTTTGACTTATACATATAAATCCTTCAACGATCAGTCACCAGCCTAAATATAAGACATGATAGACATGTACACTCAAACGAGAAATCTGGGGTCCTAGAATAACTCAGTGACATAAGTTGTGCCGTAATCTCGGACAGTACGATAAGGTGACAGGTGCTTCCAGACAGCCGTAGCGAAATTATGGAATGCGTTACCACCTGGCATTAGAGACTGTTATACCATGCTCTCAAAACAAATTATTTCATAAAAATTCTATGGATATTCGTTTAATAAAACAACATACATGTACTACTTTGGCTACATTACTTGTGTAAATTGTGTCTTTGATTTTGTGTCTTAGGGTTTTACTTTAATAAAAGTTGATTTTTTAAAATTTTGTTTGTTCCTTTTTTAACCATCTTATTTCGTTCAAATCTTTTATAGGATTTTTTTGTTAATTAATATTGTACCTTATGTCAAATATATGATTATGTTTGATCAGATTTATGTAAAGCACTCTTAAACATTTATTATTTATGAAAAGTGTACTATAGAAATGTGGTATATAATAATAATAATAATAAGAGATATATATCACGGATCATGAAAATACATATTTGGTCTAATTAGTAAAAACTTGATAAAAATCAAAGACATTTTACATGATCCTAGTGCAGGTAAACAGTTGTACTCCTAATTGACTTAAATGTACAGTGACAATAGTGCACTCATTAATACAATCTTATAGTTACCTTTTTACAATTTTATAAAATTTAAATTTCCAGGTTAAAATATTTAAACGAGTAAAATAATAATAAATAACAAAACTCATATCGCATTTTTGTTATATCTTACCTCCTGTACTTATGTTCACTAAAATGAGAACTCCGAGAATATGCTTCACAAATAATTCAGCTTTTTTCGTCATTTTCCATTAACATTGCACTTCATTAAAATACCATGAAGTCCTTAATACTCAACTGACACTGGTCTTACATTATTTAAATATGTAACCATAAAACAACAATCACTATTGATAAATCGCAGTGACAATGGGTTTATTTTAATTGCTTTGAAAAGGCTGTTTTTGAAAGGGACCATTTACTTTCTCCCGATATCAATATGGATATCTATTTGCTTTCTGAATTGCCTCAACTGGGGGCATGCCACCTCTTCTTTTGTTATTTCTCTTTAAATGTCAAACGCATGTCAATAACAGACATGGTACAAACCCGAGTTAAAAGCTTTTATATTGATTTTTGTACTTTGTGAATTAAAAATCTGGTCTAAAATCAGCATTTTTCGATTTGATAAAAAATACCTTTTGTCAATATAAATGGCCTTCTAGCAGTCTTGTCAAGATAATAATTTATTTAACAATGTAAAAAGATTGAAGAACAATTGTAATTGTAATTTCATTGCAAATGTTATTGAATTTATAAAATGTTCAATTTACTTATCTATTAAACAGGAAATATAGAGTATTTACACATTGTATCACTTAGATTATAAAGTTGCTTTCTTCAAAACTGATTTCAATAAGTCATTCCCATGATCTAATTTTTGGATTATAGGTCCAATTCATTAACTATTAAAGTGCATAATTATTTTTTTATTTTAAATATTTGGTTTAATTTACACGTACTTCAATGTGTGCCTATTTCCTAGATATACAAAAGTGGAGTGGTAGCCGAGTGGTTAATGTGTTTGCCTCTCAACCCAGAGATCATGGTTTCGAGCTCTACTCGGATCAAGATCATGATTCAATATTTGACACCAGTACATATAAGTTCCTCGAAAATATTTCAGTAAATTGCAAGAACAATTGAGCTAAAATAAATATGTTTAAACTAAGTTATACCACATATTACACCAAAATAAACAACATAGATGCTTACGCGTTGACAGAAACACGACCATATGTACATGTACACAAATTATAAGTAAGCGTAGTATAATAACAACATGAATATTAATGATGTCATTGATTGGGGGCTACAGAAGAATATGATACAGCATATAGAAGAGTGTTTTCTTCTTATTATCTCTCATTCAAAATGACTATGCATCAAAATATAATACCTGAATAAAATAATATGGATAGTCACTATTTGATACTTAGATTAACAATTTTATGGACTTTCACGATGTATTTCATATTACTTTCATTGTGTGTTCGATATTTTTATTCAACCCCTTTACATCCGGGAACGTTCTGAAGAGCATTCCAGTAGGGCTCTGTCGAAGGGTTGTTACATCCGGTCGGACCTCCAAATAGTTCCCGACTGTATCCTTCACATGTCAGCAAACAATTATTTCTTTGGGCATATCTTTTCATATAATTTTGTAGACACTGCGAAGAACATTTAACGTCATCTGCACACTTTTTCCACTCTGAAAACAAAATAATACCATGAACATATTTAGTAATCAATTTAACTTATTTTTTTGAAGAGATGTTTCTTGTTTTTTTTTTGCGATTGCTATATCGATTAGAAAAGTGGCATCCAAATTTTGTTTATATTATTAGATATGAAGATTTTGACAAATTGTATGGCCATATATAAAATGTTATCACATATTACCGAAGCCTCTAGGTCGTTTATAAACGTCCAGATAACGTGTCCGGATGTGAAATACTTAATTTTATTTCATGTATGCTGTATATTTGTGTAATGATGAGAAACTGTATTGTTCAAGTCACATTGAATAATAAAATCTGTTCTGTTCTGTTTTGCAATATAGTAAACTTCTATTTTTAGAGAAAAAGAAGAATTTACATAAATTATCAGCAGCCGTGAACATAGTTAATATAAACGTCACGATTATCTAATGAAAAGAGGCGTTACAAACGTGCAGTATCATAAAAATGGATATATATGTCTTAACACACATAGCCCGGAATTCCTTCCCTTAACACTAAGTTATTGTTTAGACAATAAATCAGACTGTATGTTTAGTTTGACATCGGAAAGAATTGAAAAAAGTAAAGCTGTGGGTTGGTGTTATTTATTCAAGTTACCATTATCATACATGATCTGTTTTGTATTGTTTTACGGCTCATATTTTGGAATGATTATACATCATGCGTTTTATTTTTATATAATAATTCAACATATTTATTATTAACCTGAACCTAATCCTCCACAGTCGTACCAGATAGCGTAAGTGATTTGAAAGTAGCCGCATTGCAGTAAACTTAATCTCATTTCACATCCAACTGGTTCACAGTTTGACTGTTTCTGTAAAAGTAAAGACAAATTCAGTAGATTCAAACGTTCTTAAACTTAAACAAAGTAATCCCAAATTTTCATCTGAATTTTAACATAAAATGTACCTGCATCCAATCAAAAAGCTTAAGCAATCTTTTATTTTTACCTTGGAGAAAATTTACATTTAGACTGTTTCACAAGGAAAAAACTGTTGCTTACCAAGCACAGACATCTTAGACAGTCCACAGAAACCATTCCGTCAGCAAAGTGTAAACCCCAAATTTCTGAACCATCTTGTGTATTTTCTACATTAGCTGAAAATATCTACTAAAATTATCATTTTTTTCTACATTTTTCCCCGATCATATAACCAGAAACATGTTAAACTTTATATTGCATGTAAAATAGAAGTTAGTAGAAAATAAATAGTAGCGTATATATCGAGGGCAAATAATATGTAATTTAAATAATTGTTTAAAATAAACCATTCCAAATGCGGTTATTATTATTCAAATAAGGATTTCAAGAAGATATTTATTTCATTGTAATAAACTCTAATTAACTATCTTATATCTATCATGTATATCGATCTCATTCAGTATTACTCCCGGTAATTCAACGAGGTAATTAAAACCAAATTACTTACACGAATTCGAATATTCACGATTATTTCCCTTGGAATATTTCAAAATCACCGCAGCTGAAAACAAAAAACAAACGCTTAGATTAAATTTTCCTTTCATGTTTCACCTCCTGAATACAAATTATTACTACCGAAAGACTCATCATAAATAATTGTATTGATTAAATTGTTTATCATTTTCATTTTGTCAATATGGAAGTTTATATTTCGATCATACATGAAGTATTCTTTAAAATGAAAATGTAACCATGGTTTTGTCGTGATACATCACGTTGTCAACTTGATAAAGACAGACAATTTGTCATAACATATTTTCTGTCCAGTGTTGTTGCTGGTGCTCCGAGTTCCCTGGTTTACCTTACATCAGTGTATGATAGAAAAGGTAAACAAAATGTTACAAGTTATCTTCTTGTTCACATCCTTATTGGCAGCACACTATTGACCTATCGGGAGCCGGTGCGTACAGATATTGGTAGACATACTTAATTCTACACTGATAATGTATGTTTATATATTACCATACTCTTCTCAAATATATTTACCTCAGTCATCATGTTAAAGGCGACGAACATGTAATTCCGCTGCAAAGTAAACAATGTTTGTATTACAATCTTTTCATAACAAACATTTCATAACAATTTATAGCATTTTCTTCATAGAAAATCTTTTAATTATGGATTGGCGTAGGATTTTCCCTATCTATATTTAGGGTTGGTGACGCCATTTGTATTTACCTGGGTTAACTGTTTTGGTTCATTGAATTTTTGTATTCCTTCGCCGTCTATAAATATTCAACATTGCGCGTAATATGCACAGGTTTTGTCAGTTTTTGTCAGACACGTTTAGTTACCAGTCGTTTCTTAGTTGTTCTTCAATTTTATCGGTTATCATTCCTGATTGTTGTATTTCTGACGTGTTTGATCCCTCAGTAAAAGTGTTAATACTATTATGCTTCCTTGTTTTTAGTCCTTCCCTTTCTTGACTTAAGTCTGAGTTTAATAGAATGACATAATTATTAGTCCCCTATCTGTTAAACCGGAGCGGACTTTAGGTTTTTCCTCCATCCGTTTGTCTGTCCGTCCGCTCTAATGGGACAGTAATAATGTGCCTATAGGTAACTGTTCTTTCTCTTTGATGTCATTCATTCCGTAATGCTTTTATGTGTGGCTGAAAAGAACAATAGAGAGAAAATAGAGTAGCCACATTATTTCTTTCTCGTTAGAACATCCGTCCATCCGTCTGTCCGTCCACAAAATTGGATCCCGCGGTTACGCAAAAAGTACTGAATATATTTTTATAAAACTTGATATATGGATAGATGTCAGTCTGGAGAATATGCACATCTTTTTCTTTTCTTCCCTTGTTGAAAAATTTGGTTGCTTTGGCAACAGAAAGGCTTAAAATATGGCAAATATAACAATATTTGTCATTACTCAAATAGTAGTGAAAACATTTTTATGAAACTAAAAAAATATGTTTCTGATCATCAACCTCATCATATGTGACAAGGTTTACAACTCTAGTACAAAAATTTTCAGAATTACCCCCCTTGAACTTAGAATTTTCATGAAAAAAATGAAGATGTTTTTATAACTTCTTTAGTTCATAATGTATCTACTATAAACTTCATATACATGTATATGTGTTTTATTATTACTCAAGTCATTTAGGAGAAGTTTTTACTTTAGCCCTATTATTTCCAGTATTATGTTCCCATTGAACTTAGATTTTTGTCTAGAAATTATTATATTTAACTCAAACTTCTTCATTTCTTATAGCATTTCCTTTTATTTTTTTTCTTCTATGTTACTATAAATGGTACATTAAAAAAAATTCACTTTTATTTATTTGACGATAAATGGCATCTTCTTTAATCTTGAGATAATTTCTCTTTGTTACACTCACATCATGTATGAAAATTTTCATAAGTCTAGCATCTTTATTTTTCAAGAGTTATCTCCTCTTAGTTTAAGAATTTGCTTTTTAAAAAAAATGTTATATTCTGGTACCAACCAAGGATGTTTAAAGAGTTATCCTCAGAGTCTCTGTCAGTTGGTCTGTCTGTCCGTTTCTAAAAACTGTCTCCTGAGATCACTTTTAAAGACATCGGAACTTTTCCAACAAATAAAGAAAAGTTGAAACATCAGTTATACATATTCATTCATTCATTCATTCATTCATTCATTCATTCATTCATTCATTCATGACATAATTCAATGACAAATCGCCCTTCAGAATGTTGCTGGGGTTCTAACCGGTAGAGGACTTATGGATTGCTTGCAATACCATGATAGTTAAGAATGAGTTTGTTTCTGCTCGACGTGTTTTGAAGTAATCACTTTATTGATGAATCCTTGATAAAAAGAGTTTCAAATATAAATAAAATTGATACTAAGTGTAATGTCACTCAAACAAGAATAAATAATAAAATATAAATTTTTTTCAGAATCTAATCTATGGTTTCATCTTTTGGAATGTCAAAACTATGTTAAATTACAGATAAACTTTAAAAGAGACTTTTTGCATTAGTGTTTGTCACATCCTGTACAAATATATTCGATCAAGAAAACAAATCTAAATCAAGATTAAAAAACACATATAGAGCTCTTTTCAACTAAGTCCCCCCTGCCAAGATCTAATGCGCTCTTTTATTTATTCATAAATATTCAAAAGTGGCTCAATGTCGCTTATCATGGCATTCCTGTTTTTTTTTTAGTTCAGTTCAAAACGTTATTGTCAGAGTCACAGTTTAAACTTGTGAACATATACAATTATCAGTTTAGAAGCAGCAGTAGTACCAAAAAATGTAAGCTTGTCAAAAAATATTTTACAAATCTAATGACCTAAGTATAGACTGGAAGTGATTGAACTACATTTTTATACTACATGTATTTAAATGTAAAGCAAATTTACAGGTTGTAAAATTTAGATTAGGGAACAAAAATAACGTATGTATTTCAGGAACAGCAGAAACATAAAAAAACTATTAATATAGATTTCTTAAGCTAACACATACAATGAATCTTAGTTTGTGCTTGTATGTATAAAAGTATAAAACAAAAGAAAAGAAAAAGAAAGAACAATGGAGAACGGGGGCACAAAAAAACAATAATAATGAATGTGAATCCTGTTTACTATATTGTTCTTTTATGAGAGACTATATTCATTGCATTCCAGCCAGGCCTCTACAGCGTGTTATATAGTAGCTTACACAATCTTATCAAGCCTTATAAAGTTATATTATGTTAATATATCAGCTATGAAAATGTGTACATTCATTTGATCAATGTTGAATTTTCTTATTTTTCTTGGTTATTTCAGTTTAAGCTGTATCTATAATAAAGGTCATGTCGTAATTTGATTTAACATACAATGTCCTTTAGGTATGTATAACATTCCACTTCCTACTAATAAAGATACTGTTTGATTTATTTTTGCCGATGTAACTGTGTCCCATATCATCATCATATGATAGTTATCACCAAACTACAAAATAATTTGTGTATGAAGATATTGCTTGCAGATTGCAGAAAGTCAGTCCCAAAATCTCGCACTTGAATTCTGTCAATTCCATTACTACATACTTGATGATTGTAAATAGTAACAGACACACTGATTATAATGATTGTTTCACAATATAAAACGTGTCCTTATTGAAAAAACCTTCATGTCATTGAGTGTTCGAATATCACGCCAACTTTCAAAAGACTCTTTCATACTTTGGTGACCTGTTTAACCTTCGACACTTCCGTTGTAAAGCCATCGGCAAACGTCTTAAATATCCGATTTAAAAGAACATACTTCTTTATCAAAACTCATAGAATGCTATGCCACTCTAATTTTTTAATCATTTTGAATACGAAATACCCAACAATAACCTTGCTAGAATTTTACCAAATATCAACTTGTCAGAAGGAGACACATCTTAAGTTATTTCTCTATCATAAAGTTAATGTTGACCTACCATTCTTGCATTTACATTTAACTCACCTTTGTCTCAACACAAAAACTATTTAAAAGAGTTTGGTTACTCTAAAGTAATCTGATGTAATGAATCGTCATAGAACAAGCAAATATTTATCATGGATATGATGATAATCATGTGTGATGACAATTGGCAGAATAAAAGGTCGTTTTGTTATAACGAAGTTCTTAAACGTGAGAAGGGGAGCAACTCTACATGAAATGTCACGTAGGTAATCTAAGTTCTCTTACAGCATGCATGGAGTGTAGGATGTTTTTTTTTTGCAAATATCATCTTACGTGTCTTATTTCTCAAACAATAAACATATGTTTATACTGCATACTTTGTGTGTATGATTTTGAAGTTTACAAAACTGATAATGTTTCTGTTAAAGTAGTTTACAAAAGTATAGCTATAGAAACACTGATGTCATTCAAATATTATGACATGAAACTAATACATAAGAGTCTGACCTTTTTCTAAAGCAAAATAAGAAAAGTGGTCTGTTTGATTCGCCGTACTAACTAATCATGATTGTTAACGAGTATTATTATATGATCTAAATATAGCTGCAATCTCATTGGTCCAAACAGTAGTCAACAGAACTTTTTATAAAATCATATTCACTGGGTGTAGTATCATATTCACTGGCTGAATTGGATTTTCCCAGTCTAAAAATAGATTGAGACTCATATTCAATGATCATACACCGTAGACTGTTAATTACGCGTGTTAATTAAAAAATAATTGTTGCTTTTTGTTCTTTATGGCATATTTCTCGATTAAAATATCATTACTTTACTATTATACTTAAAGGCTACACCGCAATGATGAGTATAAACTTGAATTATTTTTGTATGCGCAGCGTTCGCGTAGTCGTTGCACGCCTAACACGTGCGTCTTTTTTCCCGCGCTTCAACGAGGCAAAATTTGTACATGTATAATTATAAGGTTATACTTTTGTGATTTTTTTAAATTTCTAATTATTCATATAATAAAACAATTATTGACTAGTGAACCATTGAATATGATGTGATATTCATCGGCAGAAAGTCATATTGACCTCGGCTATCGCCTCGGTCAATATGTCATCTGCCGGTGAATATCACATCATATTCAATGGCTCACTAGTCAATAATTGTATAATATATTTTGTTAACAATGTTACATGAATGTTATTGAAAATGACTTCTTTTTTTTATATAATTATTTCTTTTAAGTTTTAAAGAAAATGGAAACTTGCCGGGAAAATGGAAAAGAACATATAACCGGTCAAAATATTTATAATTTTCATAAACAACTTTTGTGGACAAATTTTGTATGATTATATTTTAATGTCTGACGATCTCGTCTTTATTGTGTATTAATGGGTATATGCTATATGTAGTTTAATGATAATAAATCTTCAACTGAATTGGTCATGATTTTGCATTACAATACAATCTAACAACAACACAACAATACAATCTAACAACAACACAAAACAACAGAAAACAACAGAAAAAACATGATACTCGGCCGAAGTAAAACTAGTTACCTTGCAATTGTTAGTTCTTAGTTTTTCTATGCAGTCATATAGAAATTTTAGCATAGCTTGCATAACAATGGGGTATTCAACTTTAAGATCTAAACAAATCTGTCGTATGTAGGTAAGTGAACTCAATTTCTAACACCAATATCTACGCAGTCGGTAAGGCAATTATTTGTTATAAATACTTGATTGATATGCAAAATATATATAAAATATAAACATGAAATCAATTGAACCCATCGATAATGATATAATATATTTGAAATTTATTGAACATCAGAGACTAAGGGTATCTGATAAGTTCTGATATCATTCTCGTTATTTTGATCTCAGTTCTTGGTTAAAATACAGCCAGTAAGTTCTTTCGTAAAATAAACTGTACACTAGAAAATGTAATGAGATTTGAATGCAAGAATTATTGTTAAACAAAATTTAAATATCTCAGCAATTTAACTTGAAAGTTAAAGAACTGTCCCGTACATTTTATTTTAGAAGTATCCTTTACATTTTATTTCATAATGGCAACAACTATCCTTTACATTTTAGTTTAGAACTATGTTAGAATGACAAGAACTATCCTTTTTAATTTTATTTTAGAATGGCCAATGAGATTCCCAGATTTCATCTTGTTATTATAAAATGACCAATGAAAACTCTTCTTATATTCAGTTCTTCCCTGTACATTTTACAGGAAGTTAAACTGAAAACAGACGGCCCTTCGATCGAAAAAAAGTAATTCATCAACATGTTGGTAAAATATCAACGCTATTTAAACTCTGGTACACGCTCTATCACTGAGCAAATTGATAAATTTCACTTGCTGTTTTCTTCTAATTTCTATTTCCAGTCAGATTATCTAGCTAAAACCATATTTTTATATAAAGTTGAAAGTTTTGCAAGTACAAAGAGTAAACTGTGTTAAACTGTCACAATATACTGTAAACAGGGTATACGCAATTTATACTGTATAGTTCACAAACTGTGAGTACATTGTTCAATTTATCTATCGATTTGAAAGATTGATTGTTAAATTTCAAGTGTCAAAAGGGCTATTTTTTATAACACTACCTCTCACTTTGTTTTATAAAACAGAAAATACTTAGAAGCATATCTTACTACATGTACAGGGAATTATTTTAGGGTATGTGCACATTTTATTTTCGTTTTGTTTAAGAAATAGATTCAGTGAAAGATTAAAAGCTGAAAAAGCAACACATATGATATAGTTTTATTCTACAAAATATATAACATATATAAAGTTAAACTTTAAAAGAAATAGATAAATATTGGAATACAAGATATACGAAATAATCGAAATTGTTTAATTCAACTCGTTTAATAAATTTAATATAAAAAGACTTTTTAAAAGAGTATGTCTATATGTAAAACACCAATTACAGAAGTACAGAGTAATGAGTATATTGCTTATCTATTACAACTAAATCTTTGGTTTACATTTTTTATAATTGTACATAAATATAAATAAAATCCAATTAAACAATTCTAAACAAATAATAAAATAGTCAGGGGCGTTAACTCTCTTATAAAAGTTATTGTTAATACATTTCACATGAATCGTGATATTCCATAATTTTCTATAAATTATTTCAGATAATAATTATAGCCATTGTGTCAATTAAAGAAACATGAGCATATATCAATAGTAACCAATAGAATAAATCATTATGCGTGTATACATGATCGATTTTTTTTTCAACAAAGAACACTTCAATTTATGTAGAAATTTAGTTTTTCTTACTTGTAAATTATAAATTGAGGCCCTTAGCGATTATCTTAGGCCACTAGTGATCTAATTTTCACAAAGTTTGTATATTTATAATTATTTTAGTGATGATGTACGATGTACAGATAGATGCAAAATAGAAAATAAATTATGTTCTGTTCTGACTCCCATTAGATAGGTGTTTTTTTCTTATAAGAGAAGACGTTAATTTAAAACAATATAAATTATATCACGAATAGTTTCAATAATTTAAAATTGCAAATAGTTTTATTTCTTATTGTATTTAATTAAGATAAAAGAATTGTAAATGAAATAAGATATATATATATCGTATCATATATTTTGTATCTACAATTAAACTTTAATTATTTAAGTGAAAAATGTGTATTCTTAGTAAAGTATATAATTATGTTATTTCATACCATTTGATCTAATGATATTATTTGAAAGAGGCACATTTTGGACGTAACAAAGTCACTAGCCTATGGTCGTCCGATTTTTTAGACACCGACCATCTTACTTGAAATAATGCGTTGAGCATCCAGGACCTGTAACCACCAGTAAAAAGAGGAAATTTGACAAAGGTCTTTCAATAAAATAGAGAAAAACAGAATCCCTAAAGAAAGCCCAACACGGCAATATTGAAAATTTGCAGGCTCGATTTGATTGAGCCTGTTAACTGGAAAGTGCAAGTTACCTTCTAAGCCCCTAGCACCGGCTTAAGCAAAATTCAACATTTAAACATGATAATGGTGAAATATATGAAATTAGAAACATCTGCAGATGTGTTCATACAGCGGTTATCATGGAACCTTCAATGTGACACTTTCGTGCCTTTCCATGAAAAGCGGCGAATAGTCCCTAATCAAAAAATGTGTGCGCCCTTAACACGAAACTAAATAAAACGGAATTTTGAATGTGAATTTGAGGTTATGAAGGCTGTATATAAGAGATACGGCGTGGTTGTTATGATAAAAAGTTTTAATATTTATAAAATTTTCGATATGTTTTTTTTTAAGAATAATAATACACAACAATTCTATAGTTGACTCTTTGTTACGTTTTCAATCCTGGCAATTTCTAGTTAGTTTATATCATAAAGTACACGTAAATTATGCTGGGATAATGTATACAGATACAATCATTATCTTACAAAAAGGCATGGCTGGTCGTGAGTTATTGTGTGCTTTTTATTACAGTGCATGTTCTTACTTTGCCAGTGTATTTATCGACTTAATACACTTGTGTCTCTGATAAGAGGGATTTATAAAGTTTTAAACAAATATTTGAACTTTGTGAAGAATTATGTTCACCAATGATTTATCAATTGTCTTGATTTAAACACGATGAAATATATTGAAACATTGATTACATAATTTAGATTTTTCGCTTGCCATGAGGATGCTTATAATATATTATTGAGGTTAAAGATATACAAAAGAAATTTATTACCCTTCCAGATTTTTTCCGCCTTTTTGATTGGATATTGATCACCCGAAAGAAATTGATATAACCGAGCCAGACGATTAATATACACACTAAATTTCCCCGTTGGGTACCCAACGTGGTAAACAACATGCGCTGAGGTGATGCGCGTACGGTTCGATTTTACGCGGTGTAAATTCCGATTTACAAGCACGTTTTAACTGTCAAATGATAAATATTTACCAAAGTAGAGTAATGATACATATTCCCATCAGTATTGAAAACAAATATAACCTTGTGAAAGCTTGATATTAATTACAAAAAAGTGCGTTCAATAGACTACTCCTTTTCTCTTGTTTACATTCGTTAGGTACGGGAAAAATACTTCATGTATTTATGTGACGTCATGTTGTGATGAAGAGGTACCCTAAAGGGAATCTTATTTCGACGTTTCATTTGAAACAGCAATGATTTTTTTTAAAAAATCGTCTAAACTCGCAAAATATGTTTACTGAATATTGAACAATTGTACGAGTAAATTTGCGCTTTTTAATCACATTGTTAATTGATAAAGACTTAGTAATATACTTGTTTTCATCGTGAATATAGAACCTGTCCATTTTGGTTTAATTTATTTCTACGACAAATGCTGTCATTTTGTAGTTCTTATTTGTATGATTTAGATATGTTTGGTTTATAACATCAATAATATATTCAGATCAGGTTTTTTTCCGTTACGACAGGAATGGCCACGGAAGACGAGGAAGCCATAGTAAAGCATCACCACTGGCTTCCAATCATATTAGCAATTTACTTACCAGTGTCATTCATTATCACGTAAGAACTTACATTATCTTATACCATTTCTAGTAGGGGCGTCCGTGGCCGAGTGGTTATGGTCCTCATCGCAGCAGGTTCGATTCTAGAAAGGGACTTTGGAGAATATCATTTGAGGAAGCTAACCAACAAGACGTCGGTTGCTCTACTCAGGGGCTCGCTCGTATCCGAAATAATGCATGGAGGGGCAACTCAGGTTTTCTTCCACCAGTAAACCTAGACAGTTTCTGAATGACCTTTTTTGTTTGGGCGACTTTTACCAAAAAAAAGGGGGGGTGGGAATTAATCGTGCCTTATTAAAACTTAGGTTGGGTTTTCAAAACTCTGTGGGGAAGGTTTTTTTGGAAATTATTAAATTTAAATTTTGTTAAATGAATTTTTCTTATTTTTTATTGGTAGTTTTTGTTTTTTTTTTGCTATTGCATGGGGAAATTTAAAATAATTTTTATTTTCAGGTCGATTGTAAGCTTGAAAAAAAAACAGCTAGCTCTAACTTAAGATATAAAATTGCTATTGAAAGAATACGTGGGCTTTATCCACTGATTGTAAACACTATAAATTTGATAAGGATCTATAAAATTTTTAAAAGGTTTAAGCTTGACTATCAACTTTTATATATAAATCACTTTTATTTTATTTTTCAGATACTCTATAGCTGTAGGAAATGATCATGTTAAACCCGGCTTCCCATACATCAGTGATACGGGAACCAAACCACCAGAAAGCTGTGTATTCGGTCAATTAGTTAACATGGGGGCTGTCTTAGGTGAGAGCGATTTAAGAGGGAATGTGATGCTAAATTGTCAAGTTAGCAAAAACAATGTACGCATTAAAATACTGAAAATTTATTTTTTCAAAAGGACTACGGGAAACTACATTGTTAATTAAATGTCTCACAAATATCATATTTGACATAAGCTTTAAACCATTTTGATAAAACGCATTCAATGTGACCTTAAAAGAACATTGACAATATACTTGTAAAATAAATAAATAAATAAATAAATAAATAAATAAATAAATAAATAAATAAATAAATAAATAATAATAATAATAATAATGAAATCTTTATTTACAGAAGGTTACACATGCAGATATACCATATTACAAAACAAATAACATCTTTATTTCAAATGTACGCATACAAAATCCTCAAGCAACAACAACTTTTGCCAGTCAAGTCAAAGTATTTTGCATAAACATATATACATATTTTTCGCAACACATAAATATCGGTAAGATTAACAAAAGTAATATTTGTTTGTTTGTTTCATTTTACGCCTTTTCCCAACAGTAGTTCAGTCATATAGGCGGGCAATTTCCTAACCATCGTTCCTGGAGAGTTACACCAGTACTAGACTACCTTCCTCCGCGCTAAACTACCAAAGCATCTCCCAAAAGTAATATAATATTGAAAAGTATGAAAATGTGTAATTCATGTTTTAACAAAAGATGGGCAGTTTTAAGTACACATATACACATACAAGTCATGGCATATTTAACATATCTTATAATACACAGCATAAATATGAAAAATAGTTTAAAGAAATACATATTTTATTATACAACAACACTCTCATTTCTCTTCTTTAAAGCCAGATAGACAAATTTTGTAGGTTTAACTTTAACTGATCTTTAGGTGTTGACATAAGCTTATTGAATTTATTCATATAAGGCCATGTGTAATAATAATTATCTAAAAGAGTTAAACGTAATTCTCTATAAAAAGGATATATTAACAAAAAATGATACTCTGATTCAACGTGATTCATATTACATCTTCTACATAATATTTCGCTTCTAATAATATTCCTTTATCGACCTTCTTCAATCTCAAAGTAGTGTGATGAAGATCGAAATCTCGCTAGTGCTTTTGCATTGTGTCCGTTAAGATTTTTGATTCTAAAACAAACATGATTTGAATGTCTTTTAGGTATTATTACTCAAACAATATTCATTCACAAAAAATGTTAACACATATATAGGCATAATAAGTATTTTAACATAATGACATAATGACAGAATCATTAAGTTGTGAAGATATTTATATGATCAGCAAGATCCAGTAACGCAGGAATTCGCACACGCGGAACTAAGGCCGAATCTGTGCAACGCTATGGCCAAAACGAATAACACAATAAGTATTTTATCCTAAATCAAATGAATAAGTGCATACGACTGCTGTGACATTATATTAACAGGTATTACACATTTTTCATGGAATATGTTAACTTTTTTTAGATAATTCGTGAGACTGTCGACCAGAATACTGTTTGAAAAGGACTTTTGTTTTCGTCGAAATTAATAAGTACATGTACATTAAAACATTAACAACTTTATTTTCTTCATATTTGATATATTTTAGAGATTTCCTAAACTACTTGTGTAGTATAAAACAAAAATGAAATAAGATTCAGCTACTTTAAATGAGATAGCCAGCGTTGCTTCGCTGCATCATTCACGACTTCAACGTTACCTCGTAAAAATGGTCTCAGTAAGATTTGTAATAATGTTTTTATGACACGAGTAGAATGGCATATATCTCAGGAAAACCGAATATTAAAAACCATAATGTAATGTTAACGTAATTGTATTTAAAGATATCGACAAACACAAAAATGCAATAAATAAATGCTTGTCAGGTCATCATTCTCATTTTCATGGAAATATATTTGACCAGGCTTAAGATATAGTGTCTAAGTAACCGAATGCGCTTATTTCCTTTTTTCAGTTTGATGTTCAATAAAAAAAATATTGGCTCATTTACTTTCCAGTGTTGCTCGTTTAGGCCACTGAATTGCACCATGTTGCGTTACTTTTGCACAATTCCTGCGTTATTTGTACATTCATGCGTTCTCGGATTTACACTCTATTTATTTTTGAGAAGTAGAATAACGGTTATTAAATGGTATTCTATTCTTTTTGCATCAAAACGACAACACAGGTGTTAAAAAGCCGATAAAAACCGCTCAGGCCGATATTATTTCGATTCTAACAAGACAAAATAAGGAATATCACTAATGCTATTTTATCAAGCGAATTTTATATCGGTACAAACGTTTTATATAAGTGTTTTTAGATAATACAAACGTTTTATATGAGTACGAACGTTTTATATAGGTGTATAGGGAAAATACAAACGTTTTATATGAGAACAAACGTTTTATATAAGTGTATTTAGATAATACAAACGTTTTATATTGGTACAAACATTTCATATAGGTGTATTGGGAAAATACTAACGTTTTTATTGGTACAAACATTTTATATAGGTGTATAGGGAAAATACGAACGTTTTATATTGGTACAAACGTTTTATATAGGTGTATTGGGAAAATACTAACGTTTTTATTGGTACAAACATTTTATATAGGTGTATAGGGAAAATACGAACGTTTTATATTGGTACAAACGTTTTATATAGGTGTATTGGGATAATGCAAACGATTTTTATTGGTACAAACGTTTTATATAGGTGTATTGGGATAATGCAAACGATTTTTATTGGTACAAACGTTTCATGTTGCTGTTTTGAGATAATACAAATGTTTGATACATGTATTTATTCAATCTGAGTAAAGTTCAGATCTACTTTCAAAATGTCATTACCTGCATGTAGATCTGATTGCCACCGTATTTGTTTCGCCTTCAATGTGATTCGGATTTCCCGAAAAAGCTATGTTTAGCCATGCAATCAAACCGTCATTTACTGTATTGTATAGATTGTTTTATTTAAAAGACAAAATATCACTTAATTAAATAATCATATAATAGTATGAGCTGAATTGTGACGAATTACTTTAATTCGATGTTTTATGTTCATTACTGTTAGAATAATATTATATACGTTTGTGATGGAAATGGTCTTCAATTGTCTTTAAAACAACATTCTTTACCTACCTGTTTTTGTGCAAATTAAATAATGTTTCTATTCCAGGGGGAATTATAATTTACATAAGATATAAGCAAATTTTGAAGCAGACAACAGTTGTGAAGACATTAAATCGTGCTTCATTTTTTATCGGATTGTTATCAATATTTGGTGTTAGTTTAGTTGGTAATTTTGAGGTAAGCTTTTTGTTAATCAGATAAAATTAAAAACAAAAAAATCTTTTGAAAAAAAGAAAAAAAGAGACATTTCAGTTACTTAGCAAAATTTTAAAATGTTAACAAATCAAATGTTTTCTGATAGTCACTGACAATCAAGTCCTGAAATTAATTCGTCTGTTAATTGCGGTGGATGCATATGTGTGCGGGCGCGCGTGTGATTGGATTCTCCTTATTTAATTTCACGCTTTAAACAATTTATTGAGTCTTTTTTTCAGTTTTAAAGCAAACAAAATTTACATTACAGCAAACAAGTGTTGTTGTGGTACATCTGATCGGTGCGTTCCTAGCGTTCGCAGTAGGGTTTGTTTATATCATTCTGCAGACGATAATATCATTTAAGTCTACAGATCTTGAAAGACCTGGAAATACACCTTTCATCAGAAAGTTAAGAATAGTGTTATGTGTTGTAGACGCAATTTTTCTTATTTTGTGTATCCTTTTATCAATAGTATTATCATTTCCTCTAATTGGGACATCATGTCAACATGTTCAATGCTCGAACCGAACATTCATTTGTATTATTTTGTCATTTGTTTTTAGGAAAACATTTACACGATTAGTAAACAGGCTACACTTAACATTAACTAATTGTTTAAAACTAATCTCATTTCCTGATGACAACGTTATCCAAAATTGCTTCTGGTTAAACATTCAACTACAAACAAACAATTCCTTTATCCATTATATCCAGCAATATATATTCGATTCGTTAACGTCATTTGAAGCAATAAAGCACACAAAGCCCAGATTGAACTATCTTGTATACACAATGTTCTTATTAAAAAAAAATCTTTTTAAGTTTAGTGGACATTGTACTTTAAGCAACTCGATAACTTTTTGATATGAATATTTTTTTTCCTTTAAATACTTATGCATTTCCTTAAATAGACTACATAAACCTTAACTGTATTCAGTGGGGGTAGCACCACAAGTTGCACATTCCATGGGTCCCGGCCCGGGTAAATCTAAATTCCAGTGGTCTCCCGACGATCCTGTAAGTCTTTATTTAACAGTTTTTGGCTATTCACAATTGACATTGTATCTTTTTTTAAGATACGGTTTGAAATGTTTAACTAATTTTTGAAACCAAAGTAAGTATAGACATAAAGTACATGTTCATATATAAACAGTTTTCCTATTAGTAGAAGGCTAGTATTTCTGTTACCTGAAGTTATTGTCTTACAGTATTTCAAACATGATCATTTGTTAAATGCATAAAATTATTGGATGTTTAATCATTCTTACAGCATTAACAGAATTTTATTATTGTAAAAAATGCTGTTTAAACAATATGATAATTTATAGTAATTGGCACTCCTACATATTGGTGTAGATTTCTATAAATATTTAAATCTATAATATTGTGAAATTTGTGTCATAGGCACAGTTAATAGTTACATAAAGTATATTTCCAGTACAAACACCTGTTTTTTTATTGTCTGTCACCAATCTACTAGTAATATGATGTTTCATGGACACACGAATCGGTGCATTGCTATTACAACACGATACATATTATACACATCTTGTTTTCGTGATGTTCTATTATTTAAAGTATTGTTGTTATAAGTTTAAAAAAGAATATTTCTTTATTTTTAAAAAAAGGTGTTAATAGACTGGGAAACAATGTAATAAGAAACGCATACAGGTTTATACAGGCTTTATTAATATCAGTTTAGAAATGAAATAGTTTATTTTCAGATACACCAAATCTGCCAGTTTACGAGTTTATCAATCCTTAAAAAACCTTTCTATTATTTTATACTTTTTGCTCTGCTTCACTTTGACTGCTTTGCACAGATCTATGTTTGTTGTCTATATTTCTTTCACTGATTATTACTATCCACTATGACTTGTGGTAGGACATGGTATAGAATTGAACTTCAGATCATTCAATGTGTATATATTTTATAGAAACTACCATAAGGTAGGTTTGTGGACTTATAGCTTTGCTTATATCGGTATCAGTATATAAAGTTTTCTAAAAGCATGGAAAATGAGTATTGCTTTTCGATTTGTCAGTTATTTTTTGGCAATATTGACCTGAGACTGATTGATTTGCGGGAAACTTTCCGTTAGTTGCCGTAATTAATTAGGTTTAACGCATTGGGCATTAATACTAGTATAGCTCTCGATACTCTAATCTATAAGAACGGCTAGATGGCCTTGTGGTTAGCACGACCAAATAGTGATCGAAATAGCATTTTTTTGTGAAATCGTTTGCTTCCTTTTGTTTCCTTTTTTATTCAAAATAACTTGATAGATCATGTGTTTAATTTTCTAGCTTTAAAGTCTAGTTAAGTTTATTTCAGTTTAACAATGATAAACATATATTTCTGTTAAACATATATTTGTGTTAAATCTTGTTGTCTATGTAGGCTATATGTGTATTATATTGTTAATGTGCATGACATTGATATCGTATATTTTGTACCTTGTATGAAAAGAATCTAAAACTTTTAATATGCTTCAGATAGATAAAGTTGAAAATTTGAACATTAAATACATTTTATAGTGAAAGTTTATATAGTTCAAAAATATGTTGAGCTTAATTTAATTATGACACTTTATGCTAATTAATAATTTTGAAAATAAGAACACAATAGTATATATTCGTTCAAAAATACCTTTTAAATTTATCTATACGTCTAAAAACTGATTCCAGGGCTATGCAGAACATCTGGTGGCGACGATATCAGAATGGTTGGTCGCGTTTATCACCGTGATATATTTTGCCACGTTTTACGCTGAATTTAGACATTTCAAATTAGAGGCACCGAAAGTAGTTTTAAATGAAGTACAAACAATGCAAACGTCTCCTCCTACGACAACAACAACAACGACAGCGTGAAAACAACATTAACAACAACTATAATTACTAAACACTTTTTGTAAATATTTGACAAAACAGACATTTTACCGACCTTGAATATGTGTCATAGACATAACATATCTACGATTATTCATCTTTTTTTCACATTTATAAGATACCCATTATCACGATATTAATAATTTCCATATTCTACAAAAACGATTGCGTAATCAGTATAATAACGAATATGATACGAATTGGAATGTGTTACACAAATTAGAATATTATGCAAATACTAAAATCTGTTTTACTCTAGGTAATATTTATAAAGATATATCTAGTATTCCATTTGTATTCTCATAGTCTTGCAATTGAAGATAGTACATTTGATAATGAAGAAAGAAATGAATATTTTGTTTAATTTGAACTTTATGTCGAGGGCGACCATCCGTAAATTAGAAGCTACACATCACTTCTTTCTCGATTACGTTCAGGGAATACGACAACTTACACGATCTGATATGGTAAACGAAATGTATTGATTCACTATGATTGAAACATATAGATACTCATGGTCATTGTCTGAACATGTAATCGAAAAACAAATTGTAATATATTCTTGACAGATACTGCTAGTAAAGTCTTTGACTCAATGCTTCTAGAAATTATTAAATCAAATATGTACCAGGAGTTCTGACCTTTTTAGCATTAGAGATGACGAACCCTAATCAATGTTCTTTATCCAATGTGAAAAAATCTTAAATTCAAATGAGTCAATCAAGTCAAATTGCATTATCTAAACGAAATAAATTATAGAGCGCTAAATACTCTATCTTAACCTTAAACTTTCATTTGTTTTGTTTTCATTTTCGTAAATAAACATTGTTTCATAGGGTTTTGTTGAGAAAAGAAAAGTATTTCATGCATGGCATAAATAACACATGTTAGTTGCACATGTGTGTGTGCGCATCTGCATGTATTTGTTGACAATCTTATTTATTGTGCTGTCTTATTTATTATTAAGTTTCATCATATTCTAGACATTCTGATTAAGCCGGTGCTATGGAGCGTGGACGGTAACTTTCACTTTCCAGTACCGTCCATGAACAGGCTCAATCAAACCGAGCCAGTATCATTTTTAATTTTGCCTTTAGGGATTCTGTTTTTCTCTATTTTACCATTTAAAAACCTTTGTCTTCTTCTAATACAAATTTCTTTCTCAAATTGATGGTGATATATGTTTTGATAAAGAGTCAATTGCTGAATATTTTAACGCGTTTTATATAAATGTTGCCTCTATATGCTTGTTGAAAAACTACCGGCTAGGTTAAATAAGTATAGTAAATTATAAAGCTAGATGCATCTCAGTTTTTCAATTTCTCTAGTTACTGACAATCAGGTAGTAAAGTATTTATCACAGCTCAGTGCTAACAAAGCCACAGGATTGGATGATGTCCCTTCACGTTTTATGATAGATGGGGCTTCAATTATAACTCAACATTTTACACATGTAATTAACTTGTCCCTTATACAGGGTGTGGTTCCAGATGAGCACAACTTTGCAAAGGTTATTCCTATTTTTAAGAAAAATGATAAATCTGTTGTTGGCAATTACCGCCAGGTTTCCATCTTGAGCATTGTTTCTAAAATTATTGACAGGATTGTATATGACCAGGTAGAGTCATATTTTAAATCAAACAAGTTGTTCGATAAATTTCAATCAGGTTTCAGACATGGGTTTTCAACGGAAACGTGTTTTACTAGTATTTATTTTACAGACTATATACGAATGCTAACGGATAAAGGTAACTTTATTGGAATGATTCTGATAGATCTTAAAAGGCATTCGATACTATAAACCACCCAACTTTTCTTATGAAATTAAGTGCGACTGGTTTTGGTGATGATATTTTGAGATGGTTTCGATAATTTCTTTTTGATAAAAAAACAGCTTGTTGATTTTTAATCTGCTGCTCGGATATCATTTGGGGTTCCACAAAGGTCAATCGTTGGTCCTCTTTTGTTTTTATATATGTTAATGACATATAAGCAGTAGTTAAAAAGTTATTATCATATGCAGATGACTCAGGGTAGAAGTAAGGCTGATGTTGAATATGCCCTCGAAAAAGATTTGCATGTTGTTAAACAGTGACTGGTGGATAATAAATTATCACTACATTAAGGCAAGACTGAGTCAATATTATTTGGGTCTAAATATAGACGTAGGTCAAGTTCATCCTTAATATTAAATGCAATAACACAGTTATTAAACCAAGCTCGGAGCAACCACTGATCAATCATTATCTCTTGATGCAATGGCTAGGTCAGTGTTGCAAAAGGCTAATGTACGTGTGAAATATTTATATCGTAAAAAAGGATAACCTTACTCAACTAATAAGAAACTTCTAGTTATGTCCTTAATCCAAGTCATTTTGATTATTGAAGTTTAATATGTTATTCCGGCCTTTTCCAGTTACATAAAAATAAACTTCAAGTGACACAGAATAAGATGATAAGGTACTTAATCTTGATGCCAGATTACATATAGGTCCAAATCACTATCTCTCACTCAACTGGTTACCAGTCAATTAACGTGTAGATCAGAACATCCTTTGTCATGTTTTAAGTAAATATGGCCTTGCTCCAGATAACATGGAAGAGTATTTCATCCCACAGCAAACGGTTCATTCAGGACAATGGTTAAGTAGCAAGGTAACATTTGCAATCCCTAAGGTCAAAAGGTTTGGATCTAAGTCCTTTTACTTTTTGGTTGTTCCTTGTGGAACAGTTTGTCAGCTGCATTGTCTAGCATTGGCAGGTTACCTTCTTTAAGGAGTACCTTATGGACAGTTTGTAATTTTTCATTACTTTTTATAAGCGTTGTATAATTAAGAAATAATATATCCCAAACTGTGATTTTATTGCTCAATAACATCACTGTTTGGAGTTCGGATGCGGGGAATTATATCACGAGGGCGTAGCCCGAGTGATATAATGATGCGCATCCGAACGACAAACAGTGATGTTATCAAGCAATAAAATCACCGATTTGGATATATTATTTCGATTCTAACACGACATCAACAAATAAATGCTCCCGTACATTATAATTAGCTAAACTGCGCCTGATTTGTTTCCGTACTTATTGTCAGCGCGTCACATTTTTAGTGGTTACGTCACGTATAGAATGATTACGTCACATGTCTAAAAATAGAACGCCAAACAGTGATTTTATAGCATAATAACACACACTTTCGGTTCCTCTATGTTCAATAGGGAAAAATGCGGGTTGTGTTAGAATTCATATTAAGGGTTTTCTGTATCTCACTTCGTTAATCATTTAACACATAATATATCAAATGATCCATTTTTCTAGTCTAAGTAGTACTCATTTTTAAATTCTCATTCCTACTTTTTTAAAGCTGTGTCATGGTATCTTGCATTATGTTTTAATAATAGGTTTTAATTGGTGACGGTGTTATAATGAATTTTTATTATTGGATAATAGTACCGTTTTATTTTATTGAAGTTTGTCTTAATACTTATTCTGTTTTAACTTGAACAATGTGATACAATGCTCTAACCCTAGTCTATATGTGTCAAAATAATTTAAGTCTAACTGTGATAATATTTTATTGAAAATAATTATTTGCACTAGATAAAGGATCCCTATGTCATGCCTACAACACAGGGGACCACAATGAAAATAAGTATCTCTTCTTGTGCTATCACTGGTGCTGGTGTGCATCATGGCTTATTTATTCTCAAGTATGTTTTGAATGTATGTAGCATAAATTTTAAATGTCCATGTATATGTATTCTAAACCGAAAAAAAATCTATCTAATCTAAAAAACATAATAGTTTTTAATATAGCGATTTGTTTCGTTAAAATGGACATTCAATGTGACACGTTCGTGCCATTCCATTTAAGCCTCTTTTTGTCCCCAGATAGGAATCAAAGATCAGAAGGCGCTGAATTTGTTTGGGTCTCAGAATGTCAGAAAGGTGAAGGTTGTGAGATTATAAACCAATTTCTTTTTGTATAGTGCCACCAATGCTTTCCAGTGTTTTAACTGTAGTAAATTGGCTAAAAGACTTATTGCAACACTGATATTCAATTCAATGTTTATTTGACTTAAACAATTAAAAAATGAGTTGCCTTTACTGGGATTTGAACTCTAGACCTCTCGCTTCCTAAGCAAGCGTTCAAACTCCTCGGCCACGGTGAAGTTATATGTTAATGGCCTGAAGAAAACCATATTATTCTAAATTAGGGTTGGTATCCCTTATTATTTCGAAGCTAAACCTGTTGTTTAACACAGATGTAAATAATCATGGAGCTTACTATAAGCATGTTTATCTATAAAGAATAAAACAATATTAGAAATCTTCGAGCATTCGGGAACTATTTTGCTTGAAAATTAATGCGCCTGTCATTTGACAATCTTTACGCACTGATCTCCCCTGAGTTTTTCGGCGTTAGTGTACATATTAATGGAAGTAACCGCTTCAAAAAAGCGGACTACTTTCGGCAATTGCAATTTACAACATCAGGGCCTGAAATTTCGCTACCATTATTTGTTTGGTCTGTCGACCAAAAAAAATAAAAATGCGTGTGGCCTAAACGAGAAAACATTGGGTGGAACTAAAGAAAGGAATTTAATAGGGGATCTGATGTTATGAAGCCTGCATATCACAGACAAGCTGTCAAAAGACAAATTAGAAAGCAGGCAACATAACAAACCAAGTTGAAAAAGGTCAAATACAAGGAACTAAAATGACCCACAAACAGGGACACAAAACTACTTACTGAATGACATTCAAAGATCGAAATTATAACATCTTTGATCAAACTGACCCTATTAGAAAAGAAATACAGACATAAAACGTTTGCGCTACCAAAACTTATTTAAGGTATGAGCCCCATAATGGGCACTATAAGGAACTATAAAATTGATAACATAGGTCAGTTATATACCTTAAAGGACACAAGAATGCTAAATTTAAACAAAGTTTACCGTATGGTTCAAGAGTTATGGAGATTTTTCTAAAGTAAAACTTGGCTATTAGAGGGGCTCTTTTTTCAGAAATGGGGAACTCTAATTATTCTATTATATAATCATTATGAACTAATGTTTTTCTATAGAATTTTTTTAAGAAACAAATAATAGCATTCAGCTAACAAATGACCCAGCAAAATTATTGTTTCTACTCAAAATGTTTGAAATATGTATATAAATGTTACCCTACCCCACCCACTTTATGAAATTGTTTGTTCATTTTTCTACTTGGAGGGCCTTATTCAAAATATCCCTAAAATTTACTCAAATCAGGGGCTGTTTTCAAAGTTTGCATAAATTTTCTTAAAGGTATATTGGTTGCGCTTGTCAAATATAAAATACTTTTACCGTCTAGTTTTTATTTTATTAGACTTTGAAAATACAAGGTACCATATTTGATAATAAATTTGGCACAATTTAGCCAATAAATACCAATAATAATTTTATAATTAAAATGAAACACTTTTTTCTTATCAAGAGTGATCTGAGAGACACAAATAATGTTCAAAGAAAAAAGAAGAAAGAAAAAAAAATTGCCTCTTCCGGGGCTTGAACCCGCGCCCCTCAGTTTCAATGCAGTTGACAGTAGTTCTAGCCTATTTGAGTACTCTTCAAAGTGGAGATAATGCATTAGGTGGGTCATACCTTAAGTATATATTTTGACACGACGAATAATCATAAGATATTTAGAGTGGTAAAAACAATATAGTTTGTCATAGCAAATTCGAGCACTTTGGCTTCCTATATTCAGTATCAATTTGATTATACTATGACGATGGGTGAT